CACCATTGTTGATGCCATAGCCACCCACAAGACCAAAGTTGAGCACCATCAATGTGCTACGCCAAGCTCATTTTGAGAAACTTAGTCGATGACCTAGAATACGCACGCAAAGAGAAAGCAACCGTCGCGTTCGAATAAAAGAATGTGGCAGCTGGACTGTCATTTTCATGGAATGCCACAGACCCGACCCTAAGTGTGTGCAGCCGGTGCGGTGGCATGGGGCCCCAACTTTCTAGGGGTCTCGAATTTTCTAGCGCGGTCTAGATGTACAGACTCATTTATGCCGACGTCGCACGCCAGACATATTGTGGTGGGGGGCAATGCCACGATCATTCCGGGGCCCTTGAGTTTAGAAGCAGATCTGCGTTGACGACGACTCGACAAGTCCTCTAGCGCCGCATGGCCGCAACACATCTCTTCACAAGGAGTAGGGTAGAAGATCGTGGAGGGCATCGCCGCCGGTATAGCAGTTTCGAAGAACCAGTGTCGTGAATAGAACATGCACTCGCTGCTAGCTGGCGGGGGCAGCGACAACGCGTGTAGCTCTAACTGGCAGCTTCCCAGTAGAGGGAGATCGATATGCCACGTGGCAGCTGACTCCGCGGGTGATGCTAGGTTTGTCAATGACGCAGAAGTCCATGAGCAACACCCATCTAAACATCTTCTTCTCTTCGCCTAAACTGGTGCATTTGCCGTGCTCACTCATGGTTAATTTTTTTTTCAGGCACTCATGATTAACTTACCAAGAATTGTTGACTAGTAAATGCAGTACATAGCAGAGACCAAACTATCTGGTTTCTAGCACCAATGATTCGATTTCATGATCTTGATGAATCCTTCAAAGAAAATTACTCACTCATATTAGGCCTCGCTTTAGGGTTTGGCACATGCCCACCGATTTTGCCGGCCCGACCTTGAGATGCCAACCCCTATGACGTTCGTCTCGGCCACGCCAGCCCTGACCGGCCAGATGCAAGTCAAGACCAGTAAAACTCAAATGATGGTATGCCGAAAATAGCTAGGTCACGAAAAAAGTTGCAAAAAACTGAAAGGAGCACTAAATTTTTGAAGAAAGGTCAAATGTGTTATTTTGGCCTAGCAGCAGCACCAGTTCCTAATTTGCCCCTCAACCAAAAGAAAAAAAGAAAGAAAAAAAAAGGGCGCGACGCACGTCAGAGGGCTCCCCCGGTCTTATCCGCCCGACGAAATGGAAGCCTGCGCCTCCACCAGCCGCGTCCTCCTCCCTTTCCCTCCCCGCGCCGCGCGGCCGGCGGCGGCCGCCTGCCCCCGGCGCCGGCGGGCGGGGGCCGGCCGGAGGAGAGGGGTGCGGCTGGCCTCGGCCCGCGCGTCGCTCGACAGCGCCGCGGTGCTCCTCGACGCCGCCGTCGGGGCGGGGGCGGGGGCAGGGACGGGGTACTCGCAGGCCAGCTACTACACCTCGCTGGGGCTCTTCGTGCTCTCCGTGCCGGGGCTCTGGTCGCTCATCAAGCGCTCCGTCAAGTCCAAGGTCTCTCTCCGGGCCCTCCTCCCCCTTTACCCAAACCTGCTTCCTTGGTTGCCCTCTCTTTCTGATTAATTCTAGCTTATTCCCACAGTCTGTCTGTCGTCCTTCCCATCATCTAGTTTCGATCGAAATAAGATGACACATGTAATAGCGAGCTAGGTTTGCATAAATTTTGGAATCATACGTTGTAGGATTTCAAGTCCAAGGTCTCCTACAAACTTGCTCCCTTCCCTGGCCTCTGTTTTTGAACAATCTGATGATTATATAGTGTCAACTGTGCTGCTAAGTAATGCTATTATTATTATTATTGGTTCCAATTTTGCTTGCTGGGCAGCAGCGTTTATTCCTATTTGTTGTTCGTCAGGTTGGAAACGGTATGTGATGTAGTGTATGTGGGTTGGTTTATCAGTTTTTCATCTTCTGGCTGTAATACTTTTGGTAGGTTGGTAGCATAGCAGCCATGGTGCCGGAGGGCGCTGGCTCTTTTATGCATGACTGCCGGGGAGGCTGGACTTGTTTTTATCAGTTTCATGATGAAATGAAAGTGGCCCTTAATTCAAGGACATATATGCTATCGTCAATCAAGCTCATGTGTTTTTCTTGGATGGATGTATTGTTTGGTTCTTGGCCAATGATAGTTACTCGTGTTGTCATCTACTCTTAATTGCCCAACCCAGATTGTGCAGAAGACGTTCGTCAGGGAGGAAGGGCAGCCGACGGCACCGAGCCTGGTGGCCGGGGAGATCCTCTCCTTCTTCACGCGCAACAGTTTCGCCGTTTCTGACCGTGGCGAGGTCATCACGTAAGTAGCAAACTGGCTTTCAACCGTAGTGCCTGACAATATACTTCAGTATTGTGTGACAATTGCTTTACTTGGGTTGTTGAGGTCCTGAAAGCATCAGAGTCTTAGGGTAATCTGAATTCCACTTTAGGCTGCGCTTGGTATGGATGTAATTTAATACACGGGTATCAAATTTCCGGGTGTAAC